GACAAAATTTTTCGGTACAATTCGTCGATTTCTTCACAGCAGGGTTCTGCTGTGATGGTTTGGCCTGGTGACAAAAAGTTATAGTGGATCACACCAGCCGATGACCACCAAGCCGTGATCAGAATCTTTTTCTCGTGAGGGTTCGGCTTTAGAAAGAATTACCTCAGTGGTTCGTCGAAATCCAACCACTGTCCGGAACGTCTCCTGTTATCATACATGACCCATTTTTCATCACAGGTGACAATTCGGCCCAAAAACAGGTCGTTTCTGCTGCGCAAAAGCAATGCAGAAGGAACCTCGAGACGTGCCGATTCCTGCCGGTCACTCCGATTGTGGGGACCAATTGTCGAGTTTTTTTGTAGCTTCCTTTATGCGTGTCCCACACCACCTTGCAACCAGTCGGATTTGCTGAAGCCCTAGCTCTTCTGCTATCTCTCGAACTCGTGCAGCTCCAAAAAATTCCTGAAATCCTCGGTCAGTTCATTGCTTTAGTCGACGGCTATGCTGGTCTCTCTTCAAGGCTGAAAATCTACTAGAACGGCAAATGTTGTGAGCCATACGGACAGTGCTTTCTCTAGCACTATTGGGCCCCACACCTGGTTAATTTGTTGAGCTGTTTCGATTGCGGATTGCCCCAATTTATAGTCGAAGAAAAAAAATCGTCCGAAGTGCTTCTTTTCCACAGCTCTGAAGAAAAATCTTGAAAAAAGGGGGTTTATCAAGCAATGGTGAAACGGCAATTATACCATCAGATAGCGCAAGAAATTCTCTACAGGATGTGCTACTGAGAAGCAAGGCAGAATGAGTTTTTAATCAGCAGTGAATGTACAAAAATAGGTGCACAAAACTGAGGAACTTTCCGGACAACCTAATAATGTTTCAGCTTTGATGTCATTCACGACTGTGAAGACTCACCCCGGCCCTAGATGAAATGTGGGTGGTCTTGACCCTTGAGCCAAAACCCACTATCGTCAATTTTGTATGAATGCAGATGAGAAGCCGCCCGAGTTCCACCATAAGGGGCTACTTGGGCGCAAGTGAATGATCATTATAGCAAAAATTCCCACAATGTGGCTCTCAGGCAGCTCTATATAGAGAATAAAATCGTAGCTGTTGGTGTATATTGTCTGTCCCTTCGGCCAATCAGATCGGACAGTATGGTTGATGGCAACACGTACAAGGAGGCCGGGTTTGCGCTCGTCATAGTGCAGAGACTCTCCGTAGTAATTGTAATGCTAGGCAGCGCTGTGACGCAAACAATACTGAGACCTGGATACAACCGTCCCATTAGCCCAACATGAAGCCGTGCGAATTCAACTGTTCTGGTCAGTCGAGGGTACTCTCCGACGGCAAACGCCACAATGTTTTGTCATTCGCCGAAATTGGCATCAACAGCAATTTACTCGCACTTGTTGGAAACGTGTACGGGTACGTGAGGTCCAAAGGATTTCGGGGCACTGGGAGCGGGCCATTGGAGAAGAAGGGATTTACTTAACTTGAAGCCAAAATATTACTTTTTTATCTATTCTCTCCATCTTCTAATTCGAACAAAACGTCGGCACTGTTGAATTGGATTGACCTCAATAACTTATGCTCCTCGGCGTTGGGTGGCATCACATTATGGCGGCCACTGTATTTTTATGGCTCAAATGAAGTCAGCGTGATTTACTGGGAGGATTGCTGTAGATCGATAATGGGCGATAATATCGCTTTTTTGATGCCAGAAAAAAAATATAGAGGACTCGGCGGAAAATTGAAGCCCACTACGGCACAATGCTCCGGCTTCACACCCTTTCATTCTATAGCACTCACTTTTGGTGTGTCGTTTGTATGGACTGTATGTATGTTTGTAAGTCTTTCCGTGCGCAAAATGCTTCACAGTTTCGAATACAATAGTGATAGGAGAATACGGCAGCTAGGCAAACCGGGAACCGATTGGTGCAGATTTATCAATCCAATGTTTTGATTGTGATAACAGCTTTATAGGACAACCATTTTTTTATCACTCTAGCCATTGCATGAGCTGCTCGGGCGGGCAGCTAGACGGATGGCGGTTAACGCACAGACTAATACATGTGCTCGTAGGGCATGGCAGGGTTGGTGCTGATAAGGGAAGTTGCAGTCGTCGTCGCTGTTCAAGGCGGTTCACGCCACCGAATCTTAGAGATTCGGCGATGAGAACATTGATGACGGGTGACAGGTAATCTTATCAATCGATAAAAACGGACAAGATACCATCTGCGCTACATTTTATCACTTATTACCGCTTCAATTCCAACTATTAGAGGCTGAGTACGTGAACTCTTCCCTTCGATGTACGGAATCAAGGCCGTCCATTGAAGTGTTTGCTTTTAGATGCGTGAAGTGATGTCGAGCGGGGGAGGGGCAGGAGGGGCAGGAGAGTGAGGCGGGAGGGGGTATATAGTGCGCCTAAAGTGGTGAGATCGAGAAATTCAGCAATTGAAAAAATTTTCGCAAATCTTTCTACTACGTGATGTTGCGATGTGCTTAGAGGTGGCGGTCGCAATCAAAGCAAAATAAAGAGTGAACCCAACAAGTGGGAGTGGGAACGTCCTGTCGGCACACACTTTGACATGTGCAAGCAATGTGAAGTTCTTTTTTCAGTGCCACCCATGATGCGGCGGAAGCGAGAGCGAGTCTCAAACGATGTCTTCGTGACATCAACGACTCTCGCTCGGTCACCACGGTTATGCGAGACGCGATGGGCAGACCGCAGACATCGAGAGCGAGGATAGAAGAGATCGCCATAAACTTCTACACGGATCTCTTCCGATCCACAATGCTGGTTTCGCGCATACTTACATCTAAGCAGGACGCGGCCCCACAGATAAAAGAGTTGGAGGTGGAACACGCCTGACGTCAAATGAAGCCGGGAAAGGCACCAGAACCTGACTATATCTCAGTAGACTTTCTGAAGTCGGCGTTCCGCACCATCATGAAACAGCTCACCAGGCGGTATAACAGGTACATGGACGCGCAGGAGGTCCCGGACCAGTGGAAGACGTCAAGCGCGGTTCTTCTGTTCAAGAAGGGCGAGCGCGACCTCATTAAGAACTAGCGCCCATTACCCCGCTTTCGCAGCCATACAAGTTGTTCACGAAGATAATCCTCAACAGGCTCGAGAAACAAATAGATGAATACCAACCGGTAGAACAGGCCCACTTTCGCAAGGGCTTCTGTTGCATGGACCACATCCATACTGTCACGCAGTTGATTGAGCGAACCAAGGAATACAAGCAGTCGCTCCTCCTTTGCTTCATCGACTATACGAAAGCATTCGACAGTGTGGAACTGAACTCTATTTGGAACGCGCTGCACCATGCTGGTGTAGACCCGGTGCGACGTAAACCTGCTGAAAAAATGCACCATGGACACATCTACCACCATCCGCATTTTTCAACGAGAGGCTACGAGTGCCGATCGAAAAGGGAGTCAGACAAGGTGATACAACACTCAACCACGCGGTGCTGCAACTCGACTGGGATGATGAAGGCATCAACGTCGACGGAAAGAATCTATCTAACCTACGATTCGCAGACGATATTGTCCTTTTCATTCAAAACTCAGCAGAGCTACAGCGGATGGTGGTGGAACAACGACGGCAAAGCTATTGGCCTCACGATGAGCCGGAGCACGACCGAGGTCATTCGCAACCAATGGGCAGATGCGTCACTCATCGATATCGAAGCGTGCGCTAGCCGGATACGCGATTACGTTTACCTTTGGTCGACACATTTCACATGGCGCAACAATTTTGAATTCATTGACGACGGCAAGAAATTAGGAACGCAAAAAATGCGCACGAACCCGGGCAATGGACGCAAAACAGAGGCGGCCCAGCTCGTTTCGGAATGCGCTCAATGTAGGGCATTCACGATGCCGTAATACACGCGTGGAATGCAAGGAAGAGATGGGCCGCACATGTGGTCAGACGTGCGGACGATCGGTGGACCACTCACATCACACTCTGGTATCCGAGAGAGGAGCGCGCGAAGGCTGGGCCGCTCTGCAACCGTTGGGAGAGACTCTGGAAGGGCAACTCCAAGAAGCTGCAGCCCAACATTGGATCCAAATCGCTCAAGATCACAAATAATGGAGGGAAGCGTGTGCTTGTCGCTGAAGAGAACCGGCTGAAAACGAGCGTTCAAGTATCCGAGTAAGTAAGTAAGGGCCACCCATGACTCTGCAGTCGTGCCTTCTCTGGGTATTAGGAGACTCATCCGAACTAATTCAACTCTACCCATTCTAATGTCTCACGGTTGAAAGTCTGTAGTAAGCATAAGTTACCGGATGTTGGTAGATATTCGCTAATGTTGAGCTTTTTCAACTCATTTTTCTGAGTTCAGTAAAAAATAACTGCCACCGTTTGGCACTTTTAGCGCATTCTACCTCGCCCTAAGGAAAAGTGCCTGGCGAAGCCTGGTCGGCCCCGCAGAGCCGGGCCGTGGAACAGAGAGAGGAGCACCCGGCGGTAACCGGGTGTCCTACTGGTAGTATACATGCTACCAGTTGTAATCGCCTGGCTTATGCCGAGCTCCTCCTTCTCTTTAGCCCAAGACCGGCATGGTCTTTCTTCCCAGAGCCACTTTCACGGAAAGGGAATTTGTCATGCAGTGAGCTGCTCATATTCTGCCGTATTAAACTAATCGTGTTAGACAGAGCAGCCCAGCGAATCCTGAGTCCGAGCTTGTTCGCAGAAGAGGTGATGGTTTGGGCAATAACGCGCGTACCATACATAGGTCTATCAATATAAATAGAATGTACAGTCGGACAATACAGCACAATATGATTGCAAAGATTGCAGATGCTAATATTTTGCTATCGCTACGCGCGTTATTGTACATTTTCCTTGTACCGTATTATTCATTTACATCAGTTCTTCTTGAAAATAAAAGGGCGATATGACATCCAAAATATTATTTCGAATTGATATCATGATATGAATTGATTCGCGACTCTGCTGGTGGTGGGTTCTCCTTTTCCTCAACCCTATCGCTTCCACTCAAGTAGCGGTGTGCTCATGTTAAAGCGCCCTCTACGCTTCGCCACCCGCACACCTCTCCCCCCTCCAGTGCCTTAATTCTTTCCCTACCCTGATCCATCTAGCGAGCAGCTTGTGCAATGATTCGGATTACACAAAATGGTTGTTTCGTATAGTGCACTGTGTAACCACTTCGCAATCTCACCTCAGACTGATAGCACAACATAGATTGATTCGCATTTCTGCTAGCAGTTGGACTATCATTTCTTCAACTTATCGCTTTCACTTATCCTTTTGTGCCCACAGTGATGGTGTGCTCTTGCCAGAGCGTACTCTACGGTCGCCCGTCCCCACTCCCTCCATCGTACCTCAGCATTAACTCCACCCCATCCGTCCTACCCCTCCCTCACATCCTCGCCGAACCTCTTCCCTACAGTGTCCCACTGCACGTGCTCGCGTCCAGCTGCCACGCGAGCAGTCCGTGCAATGGCTCGGATCGACATATCACCTCAAACTGATAGCACATCACAGATTGCCCTGAACTCTGCTAGCGACTGATCCCTCCTTTCTTCTATTTGTCGCACTAATGCTTCTGTTCCTACCGTCATGGCGCTCCTGTTGAAGGGTCCCCTCCCCATTATCCCCACGTCCCTCACCCTACCTTCCATGGTCTTATGGCCCTGCTGCTTCCATACCCCTGTCCCACTGATTACGTCACTGACTGCCACGTGAACAGCTCATTAATCTCACTTCCCTCGCCCCACCCCTTCCTTGCCATCCCCCCATAGCCTTTCCTTCTTCCCCAAGTCCGCGAACCCTTGCCCCACTGCACGCGCTCACGTCCAGCTGTCACGCCGAGCAGCCGTGCAATGGCTCCGCGGTGCTTTAAGTGGATGTCTCTCTATTACCACTCGGATTCTGCGATAACCGTGCTCTACTCCTTCTCTCTAGTCGGCCTTCGCCGAACTGGCAACCAAAAAAAAAAAATGAAATCTACCGGCGCTTAAGTTATATGATTAGGCTGGGGCGGGGAAAGTTTTGTCACTATTCTTCAAATTCGGGCTGTCCCTTGTTATAGTATAGTGAGTGTAAGATCAAATTGTGCAGCAAATCTACTGCGGGATCCTTGCCTTTCTGAGCACCCCATGAATGTCATCGGTCTACAATGCAGGGAGGCGCGATACAAAGTTGGACATCATCTCACTCTTGGCTTGAAATCACGCTTTTCGGGGTTTTCTCGTAATTTCTCGTCCATGTAATGATTAATCACAGGAGAGGCACTAGCAGTTAAAAGGAGCAATGTCTGTGCTACAATACTGCAAGGGGAGAGCGATCCAGCTCTATTGCTTGAGGAACCACTAGAATTTTTTGGAAAAGCGCTGCACTATCAGAAGCATCTGGAGTGGTCGGTGGCGATGGTAGCGGATAACATTCTTGCCCATATTGCAGAAGAAAAAGAAGAAGCAGGAATTAAGCGAGTGGTACTGATAGAAAGAACACTTTGATGTATAAGTGCTTACATTATCGTTCACCCCTCTTCAGGTAATGGGCAAAATATTTTGAGTTCGAAAAAATGACAGAACTTTCCGCCAACCTAATAAATGATTGCAGATGCTAATATGTGGGCTGCGTATTGTCAGTTGCCTATTTTTTGTACTCCCTTATTAGTCGTTCTCACCAACGTTTGGAAGTTTGAAAATAAAAAAATAAAAAATGATAAAAAAAGCTTTTACGCATAGAAATGTCTTATTATTGGGGTTTCTATTCTTCTCGATTTCCCTGAGTTTTCTGTTTCAGGCGTTACTAGTTCCCCCACTCCTCACCCCCCCTCGCCACATCGACATTATATAGCAGGATAGTGGGATGAGTTTAGTTTCTATTGTTATCAAAAAAGTGATGGCTAAAGGAAAAGTTTGCACACTGAGCGTTCAATACTTGGCAGTATAGTGGTAACAGATGTAATGAGAACGGCCCCTCATCCTTTCTTATCAATTGATAAGAAAGGATAAAGGCCCGTCTTCAATGTCCCTATCACAAGAACTCTAATTTAAATAGTGTGAAGGCCCCAGCACTTTGACAGAAGGGCAACGGCAACCTTCCTCATCAGTCCCTATCACTGTTATCACTTCCTATTACCCGCCGTCGCCGTCCTCGCCTCCCCTATGTATCACTTGCGGGAATCAAAACCTTGGTGACGCTGTGTCCCACGTTATGAGTATGATGACCTAATCTTTCTAACTGTCCCCATCAAATCTTATCAACTCCTGGGAGTTCTTGCCACCAACCAATAATGTTCATGTGCCATACCTATCATACCTTGAATCAACGACCCACAATTGCTGTGACCGAGCACGTTGACCATATCCTTCTGGGGAGGAGGGAAAAACTCACCCATGCGCGTATGCGGCGCGGTTTCTTCACGGCGCCGCGGCAGGGCGGAGCGAAAGGCGATGGCCCGCGTCTCCGGCGCTGTGCTCCAATCCAGCAGCCTCTTTTATGTAGAAGGAAGAGGAGCGAAAAGTAGAGTGAGGAAGGGAATTGAGCAGATGGATATGTGAGTTAGTGGCAGGAGATCACAGAAAAGTCGGCTACCACGAACTACTTCAGTGAATGGCAGAACTGGCGGCATAGTTCCCTTCGATTGTGAAAACGACGCGAGCAGCTTTTACACGAAAGTTCAAGCTGAGGTTTTGCAAATTGCCAACAGTTGGTTGTGACCTTATAGCGCTATAACGTCACGTCCCATTCGAAGGGAATCATTCTGCCAGTTCCGCTGTTGACTGCAATAATACGCTCTGATTCTCGACTTTTCTGTATTCTCTGCTCACCATTACCACTAACTCACTTATGAGCGTTCACTATTTGTTCAATCCTCTTTTCACTCCTCCTCCTCCTCCTTCCACATAATGGGGCTTAAAAGGGACTCCTGATTGAAGCACAGTGGCGGAGGCGCAAGCGATCACCCTTCGCCCGCCCGTCGCCGCGGTGCCGTGAAGAAACCGCGCCGCATACGCGCGCGGGTGAGTTTGTACACGGAGCCATCGTTCTGAGGCCCCTTATCAAACCTTATCAGCTGCTAACAGTTCTAGTCACCCACAGATAATCTTACTGTCTCATACACTGCATCATATCTCGGAACTATTGTCCCACTGCTGCCGTGACCCGCACTATGGATTGGGTGACCATCCCCTTCGGACGCCCCCTTATCAGATCATATCAGCTGATAATACTTCCTACCACCCACCAATGGTGTTCCCGTCACATCCCATCCATTACTTCCTGGAACTTCTCTGCCACTGGGGCGGATGCTATGAATTTCGTGACACACACACACACACACACACACACACACACACACACACACACACACACACACACACACACACACACACACACACACACACACACACACACACACACTTAGCGGATTATATATAGTAGGATAATGGAGTTATCGTAATCAAAACAACGGTTCGATACATCTGCACCAAACTGTCAAGATGTATGTAAGATACATACTTACATACATACATACATACCGACAAACCGACACAGGTGCTCTATAGAATGGGAGGGATTATTTGAAGACATTCTAGCTAGTCAATACTAAGGTTTACATCAACTTCGGTGATGATGAAGAGCGATGATGACAATAGATTGCGTCGGCGCGGTAACGGATGTCAGGCTGCGTTCACGCTTTGGGGCGGCGTCCACCAGCGTTCCCAGCGTCCGCCAGCGTCACCGACCAGGAAAGTGTAGTTATCAATCTAGCTTCTGTCGTCTGCCAGCGCCTACCAGCGACCAGCAGCGTGAGGGAGTGGAGAGCATGGCGCGATAGGAGAGTAGCAGGCATCCGGCAATTTATGGAGAAATATAAGGCGTCTTAGCAAATTGCTGGTCGCTAGTGAACTAGCAGACGCTATATTTATATCTTTACTTTCCCAGTCGCTGACGCGGCTGCATGCGCTAGTGGACGTCATAGGTCGCTGGTGGACGCTGCCGCAAAGTATGACCGCAGCCTCATCGGGGTGGTGGGCAAAGCCCATGGACAATGCTGCAGCGGAAAATAGCTTCGAGATTTTAGGGCAAAGATGTTTATTCCAGATTGAATCCGATTCTCCAAACAGAATGAAGAAATGTTGGAAACAATCCTGTGATCTCTTTCTATGCATTAA